CCATACAAGAGCTATAACACTGGCTGCTGTTAAGAGTAGAGGAGTCCCTATACTAGATCCACAAGAGTGGTAAACACTTGTAGGGCCAAGCCTGCAGATTCTCAGGGTCTACTACACCAGAGGGCATCCACATGCTCCTGCTTCCATGGACAACTGCCACCTCATGGCCAAGCACTGCCAACCACCATGAGGAGTGAAAGCCACCAAAGACTAGCATTTCAATAGCTTCTCCATGCTGGCCCAGGACACCCAGCAGCCTATTGGTAACATGAAGAAATGATGGCATCCTGGAAATGTAGTCAGGCCCAAGTCTCCAGAGTGGAGTCCATGGGTATTTTCTACAAAGGGCAGTGACTGGTTTAGACTTAAGGGTCTTAGCCACCACAGCCCTCACAGTGCCCGGAAGACACTGTCCCAGGCTGAGGGAGGAAAATGGATGTTCAAGTATTCTCACAGAACTCTATACACAAAAACATCATGCTGGGTCTGGCCCAGAAGCTGTCTTTGCTGACTCAGTTCTAGATTCAGAAAGTCCACTAGGCGATGTTTAACACAGAAAAAAAAATCTCTAGATGGCACATTATTATGGCCTTTCAACACCTGGAGATAGACGCTCTAGGTTCCCCCACAGAATGCAGACAACTACTGGATAATGATGTCATGGCTGCCAACTCTCAGTGACCACTTTCATCCTAGAATGGCCATCCATCCTCAAGGGTTCAGGAAAGACCCTCCAGACATGAGTCATCTCCACATATTCTGACTCTGAGAACTTAGGTGGCTACTGGAGATGCTTACCAAAACACAATTTAGAAAGACACCAGGCAGCTCAGACAGGCAGCCAGGCCTTCACTCTGGTAGGGACAGCCCAAGGACAGGCCAGGGAGGGTGGGTCTTCAACTCTGGCTGTGACACAAATGCCTGCTAGATGGTGCTGAGATTTCAGGTCTTAGGTCCTGGAACTGAGAACTCAATGCTATAGTCACAGACTGGCCAGCAAACGCTATTTACAGCCACAGTCATTTCTGCATAGGTGATGAGACCACTCAGGCAAACAGCTGGCACTGCATAGGGGAATCAGAAGCAAGGAACAAACTGGATACTCAGAATACTGGTACAATCTGTCACTGTGGAGAGTGGCTGTGCAGAATGGCTCTCTGAATAAAGCCCCAAGGCCCACTGGTCTCTCTTTTCAAGCAGTGAGAAGGGAGTGACAACTAGGGCTGACGCCCCCGTCTTGAAGATGCGTATCTCCAGAAGACACTGTAAAACTGCTTCTGACTTGACTGGTTGGGAGCCGAGGCAAAAGGTTCTGTGCAAGTAACTAGCCCAACCTGGAGCCTTCCACGGGACATTAGCCTCTAGGGAACCCTTTCTCTAGATCTAGATTATCCTCCTTTGGAAGCCTTTTCCAGAGTTATCTAATTCAGCCTCTTCTCAACGGTGTCTAGCCAGCATCCCCGGGGAATCTTAGCCTGGACATCCCAGCATTGGAGCACCCAACCACTCCTCAAAGTCCTGCTCCTTAGCCAACTCCCCCAGCACGCTTCCGTTCCTATTGCCCCGCCCTGCTGCCCACGCTCACCCATACAGGAT